TGTATACACACACACACGTATATATAGTAGTATTAAATTAGTACTTTTTTTGTTTATATGATGATCGATATATATCCGATATATTGATATGTATATATATATAGCTACATAGATAGCGTTACTAGCTGCTGTTTGATTTGTGGGTGCAGGATGGTGATTGATATGGATGATGGGTATAAGTAGGCCGGGGGGCGGATGAAAAGAAAAAGGAAGGCGCGCCGGCCGGGGCGGGAAGCATATGTACATGCATTTATTATTAATTCCAAGGTAGGTAATAAATCCCAGTTGCCCTATTCCTTCCTTGCCTTTTATTTATTGACATTCATTTCAAATATGACTAACATGCATGTCAACGATGTATGCACCAATTGAATAAAGCATGAGTTTTACCGCGGCATGTTTGGGAGTTCACGAGCAAGGAGACGGAAATGCTTTGACGGCAGGTTGTTAGAGAGGAAAGTGAGGTGTGCGAGGTATAGCTAAGTGAAATATCTTGTGCGAATAAAATTATTGTTTATTCGATCATGGTCATATAGGAAATGCTACTGCTTTGGTTCCACTTAAACCAGTCTCACCTAATATATCCAACACATACTTACGTTGACACAAGAAAATTCCATTTCGATTCCCATAAAATATTTCATGCATCGTCCCCAAATCCTTGATAGAGAAAAAAGTAGCTAGGAAGTGTTTGAAGTGAACAATCATGTCATGACAGTTTCTTGTGATAAGCAGATCATCCACATAAACCAAAACACAAAATATTTTCTTAGCCCGGCGTAAAGTTAACAGAGAATAATTAGCATGAGACTGACTAAATCCATATGAGCGCAATGTTGCAGTTAATTTAGAAAACCAATAACGTGGAGCTTGACGGAGCCCATAAAGAGATCGAAGGAGTTTACACACATGCCCAGGGGAAGCTGAATAACTAGGGGGTGGGTGCATGTAAACTTCTTCCAAATCCCCGTGCAAAAAGGCATTATCCACGTCCATTTGGTGTAGCTCCCATCGTTGACATGCCGCTACTGCCATAATGGTTCGCACCGTCACCATCTTTGCTACGGGAGCAAAGGTTTCATGATAATCAATCCCTTGCAACTTGTCTATTTCCACATACACCAGACGAGCCTTAAATCTGTCAATAATACCATCACTCTTGTATTTAATTTTAAATACCCACTTACATAATATAGGCTTCTTTCCAACCGGCAGCTTCTGCACCTTCCAAGTGCCATTGCACTCTAGCGCATCAATCTCCCGTTTCATTGCCTCTTGCCAGTTTGGGTCACGAATGGCCTCATGATAATTTTCTGGCTCTTTAACAGTGGATATAGCTGCAAGAAAAGCACGATGCGGGACCGAAAAACGATTATAATTTACATAATCAGATAGAGGATAAGGCTTACCAGAAGAAACCAACGGAGAAGGCAGAACGGCAGACGGAGTATCAATTTTCACGGTGTTCAACTGAACTTCATAATCAACATGCCATAAAGGTATCTGCCTTGCACGTGTTCCTCGGCGTGTCATGTGTTGAGCTCCATCATTTCCATGCTCTCTCTCATTCTGCCATGTGTCATCGAGTTTCGGCCGCCGCATGGGACTTAGCCGCTGCATGGGAATCGGCCGTTGCATGGGAGTATTCTGTCGAAGTCCCCTCCCTGTGTCTGGCACGTGCCATCTCCCTGTCATCCAGTGTTGTGCCATCTGCCTGAGTCTCATCATGCGTTCTGCCAGCACTAGGAGTAGCATTGACTGCATTCACCTCATCATCCGTAGGTTGATCCCTAACAGGTATGGGGATTTCCACCAAATCTGCACCTGAACCTTGCTTTTCTTTATATATATATATATATATATATATATATATATATATATATATGGAAATTGATTTTCCACAAAATGTACCTCACGAGAAACGAAATGTTGATTATTGTCCAAATCTAACGTTTTCCCTCCCTTTTGAGAATGTGCATAGCCAAGAAATACACACTGTACAGTGTACACTCCTCGGTCCAAATCTATCACGTACATTTGTTGTATGAGCATAAGAATATAAGATACACACCCAAAAACCCTGAAGTGATCATAACGTGGGGCTTTCTTAAACAACATTTCATAGGGACTCTTGTGTGCAAGTAACGGAGTAGGCAATCAATTAATCAAATAACCGGCTCCCAAAACACACTCACCCCAAAATTCAAGAGGTAAGTTGGCATGAAACCGTAGGGTGCGCGCCACTTCTAAAATGTGTCTGTGTTTCCTTTCCACCCTTCCATTTTGTTGCGGAGTATACACACAAGATGATCGAATTATACCATTGTCAAGAAACTAATTTTTCAACTTCAAAAATTCCGTTCCATTATCATTTCTCACCACCTTCACATGTTTATCAAATTGACGTTGGGTCATTGCACAGAATTGTTTAAAAATGTTTGTCCCTTCATCTTTAGATTTCATCAAGTGCACCCAAATCGCCCGTGAAAAATCATCAACAATAGTAAAAAAATAATGAGCACCACATGAAGACGGTACCCTATAGGGACCCCACACATCACAATGTACTAACTCAAACGGTTCCACAGCTTTAGCATTATTAATTTGAAAAACTTCACGAGTCTGCTTCCCTCTTAAACAAGCATCACAAACATTATCCAATTCATCTACAGACTCAAATTTATTCAAACTCAAAACATAACGTAACACCTTTGATGACAGGTGTCATAACCGAGAGTGCCACAAATCACTTGAGTCATGCTTTCGTATTTGATGCGCTGTATATGATCAAAACCGTGAAAATAATATACTCCGCCATGTCGTCTACCCGCTCCAATCAACATCCTCGTAGGTAGGTCCTGTATCACACACAACTGATTAGTAAAATATATATCACATTTCTGATCATCGATCAAACGAGCTATAGAAATAAGATTACACTTCAATTCAGGTACCAACAAAACCTTCCTAAGTGTAATATGTGAACTTAATCTCCCATACTAGTCGCATGGGTAATATCGCCGTTCGGTAATATCACCGCCACGGGCGGCAATGTTTCTTTATGCAACAATATATGTGCACAACTTGTCATATGATTCCATAAAAAAAAAACTTGTCATATGATAAGACGCACCGGAGTCCAAAAGCCATCTAATATTAGAATCCTTACCCGTTAATTTTTCAGTGGGTGCGGATATCTTACTCTTTTCCAGAAGCTTGACAAGGCCTTGCCACTGCTCGTCCGTAAAGCCCGAAATCAGTCCGGGAAAAATCGAACTTGATAAATAGTAAGGGGAAGATTGATCATTAATCTTTCTCCTCACCGGTTCAGTTTGACTGTTGCCAATTACGTTCGTCATAATTTAAGAAGATGTATTCCGCAGGAATACTCACTTTCAGTGTTTCGTCGTTCAAAGGCTCAGGAGTCGGAAAACCCGCTCTGATACCATGAAAAATCTTGTGCGAATAAAATTATTGTTTATTCGATCATGGTCATCATTCAATACATCCTCATACATATTGATGGAGTATATGGCCCAGGGACCCCCGGCCCATAGACTCCTACTTCTCATACATAGGCCCATTGAGCCCAAGGAGCGTTCGAGGCCCAAATACAGCGGCCCAAGTCTCAAAGAATCCCAAAATACACACTGGGGTGCCTTCGGGCTCCTTGGCCGAGGGCTCTGAATTACACAGGGCAGCCAGATTCGACCATGCAAAGCTATTGGGAGAAAATGACAGAAAACAGGAGCCTTCGGCACTTTGATGCCTTCGGCATCAGGGAAGCCTTCGGCTGTACGACGCCTTCGGCTACACAGGCCCTCTGCCGCAGGGGGGAGCCCTCGGCCAACAACTCAATCATCGAAGATTCCCTTTGGAGACAAAAAACCACCGCATTTAATGCAACGTCACGTCCACCCACCGCATTCAATGCGGTGCACATGCAATTGCCAGTGTCACCCGGTTGAGGTGACCCCTCAGCCGTTAGATTATCGCCACGTGTACTCTCATCGCATTTATTACTACTATAAATAGCAGCCCCTTTCCCCATTGTAAAGGACTAGAAGATCTCGAGTTCATTAATATAATCTCCTCTCTCTCCTACTTGTTTGCTCTGACTACTCTCTAGGTTATTCCCGTAATAACCCTTCGGATAAGCTACCCCCCGGGTACACTGTCCATCATTTGGTGCTCTCATTGAGAGGTCCGAACAATGAGAACCACGTAGCCCCCGGCGAAACTAACGGGGCCGAAGCCTCCAACAGGCTCTTGGTACCCGAAGGCGGCACCATCGCCGAAATAGAGCAAGCCACCGCTGACCTTCGTCAGCAGCTCCAGAAGGCTGCCCCTGATGCCCGCATAGGGCTTGATAATCGAAGGAGGGATCGGAGTGAGAACCAAGTTCCCCCTCCGGCCCCGGCCATCGATCTTCAGGCTGCCTTTGCGGCCTTTGTCCAAAACATGGCTCTCAATTCTGGTGCCTTCGTTTCACAGGCACCACTCCAACCTTGTTTTGGGGGAAACACCACTTGTCTGCCGCCCCCTCTTCTGTTCAACAATCCCGTAATACGGATTGGCAACGCCGAGGGGGTCGTAGCGCAAGACACCGCCTCCCAAGAGGTTCAATCCAAGGATAAACATCACAAGGAGAGGCCCCGAACCTCTGCCCTCGAGAGATTGGGGGAGGGGCATGAACGTCGAGGGGTCCAAGACCGCCTCGGTGGGAAACCGACCAGCAAACCACAAGAAAGCGGAGGCTCCGTCTTGGGGACCGGGGAGAAAACTCCCCCTCGGGACAAAGGCAAACGCCCCCTCCACGCCAACGACGCCGGGCACCAAATCAATCACGCCCAATCCTTCTGGGCCAACTCCCAAGGGGTTGTCCCGAAGGACCCCAAGGATGAAATCATTGAAGCCCTCCTCCGTCAGCTCGAGGAGACACGTCAGGCACCCCTGACGGCATCCACGCTGGGGCCAGATCCAGAGTACGCCGCCCTCCG